GTTTGAAAAGGAGGAGCAGGCAGCAGAGGACCCCCAGGTTACAGAACAGAGGCAAAGCAATTCAGGTACAATCAGAAAATTACATTGATTTAATGTAGATACAAACATAAAAAAAAGGAGGAGCTGGGGTGAGAGGTGGGTTGCAAAAAGGCTTGTAGAGAAAGCAGCAAAAGATAGGCAGGTAAGCAGCTATAAATAAGAGCCCTCCATTGAATGCATATTTGCCAATTGGATGCTTTGAGAATCAGCTGAGCTGCAGCTGACTGTGTAATGGTTGTTCCAATAGGAAGCTTAGGAGGAATCAGCTTGACCATCAGCTGATGGTGTGTTTTAGGACTAGCTGTGTCATCATCCGAATAGTGATATAGCTGGAATTGAGAGCTGAGCCTGACTTCGTGGCCTGCCTGAACTAACGCTATGCTTAATATATCACAATGGGCAGTAAAGCTTGTCGCTTGCTTCCGTGAGCTCAACAGGTGAGGCAAATGATGAGTCAAGGTCAAGACTATTGGGTCATCAGTACCTGCCACTGGCGCATCAGGGAACACTCAGGAGTAGCTCCAGCATCAGCACAGAGGCATCCCTAACCCTTACCAATTGCTGAACCTTAACCATACATTAACCATGGTTTATTTGCCATAACCATAGTATTCCCTAACCTTAACCATGCCATAGTTGCCAAGCCTAGATATTGTAGAATGCGATCATTTTAAAGAAGGTTGCCATTGGACGTTAAATGAAAAAACTTTTTCCCTGACCGTAATTCAATAATTTTTGCGCAAGCATTCTCTATTTATTATTCTCTGGAGTTGGTACATGTAACAAGGTTTCTAATGAGGTGAAATATTCTATAACAAAAACTGGGAAAGTTTCACTATGAGAGCAGTGCAGCGGGGTGCACGAGAACATGATTACTCACAGCAGTGTGTCTTTGCATCCAGAATAATTAAATCCAAACTCCAACTAAACTAAAACTGACATTAGAATGAAAAATACTAGCTTCAGTCTAAATAAGTCAGTTTCTGCAGCTAAACACTGCATGTAAACACATGTAAACCCTGCTTTTTCCCTGTAACCGGGTGTCATGTTCATGTAGCCATTAATAGTGAACAAGTAACAGATAAAAAACGTACATTTAATTTAGAGCAGACAGCTAACAAACAGGCTGAGACTAACAGGGACAGACAGGCAGGCTGCACAAATGGGCATAGGTTTATGGCTTGATTTGAGAAGGAACCAAAAGAACACGTAAACACACTGAAGACATGTAACACAACAGGTCAAATTAAGAAAACATGAAGAAAACATAGCAGAGGAGGAAGATGCAGGCACAGGAATGACTGTATGAGCACAGAGATGGAGTTATAGAAAAGATCTACCCATCATAATGTGAATCAGTGCAGTTATACAACCTCAAAGCAAGAGTGATTGAAAAAGGATTTCTAAACAAAGCAAATCATCTTGACCTAGAACTGGCACTACTAAAAAAAAAAAAAAAAAGATTACCTCAATTGTCCTTGACCAAACCTGAATGCCTTCAAGTTTTAAAAGAACAATTCTCACTTTTAACATACTTAACATCATTGAATCAATAATCTAAAAGGTGAACTCTCTGTTACCTTTTTCATTATATAAGGGAGTTTAGGTTTTTGGATTTTTTGTGTGTGTGCGGACTGAGACATAAAGAGATGAAAGAAAGATGTCAGACCCATCTTTTCTGCTCTCAGCATCTTAGTTAGCCTATGAGATGGCAAAGGGCGGAGAGCTGTCCCTCTGTGTATTCTGCCAGGGATTCACCGTGGGAGTTTGAAAAGGCGATCGGGTTGAAATCACACTCAAAGACACAATGACTTGTTCTTCCAGGTGAAGTGAAGAAGTTTCTCCGCCTGAATAACCTTTGCCCCCTTTCTCTGTTTTGTCCTTTCCTTTCTTGTCTTCCATATTTTTAGTTGCCAAATGCAGGGAGAGAACCAATGTGACGACCCCAGACGAGATGCCTTCCTACATATGCAATCTCCTGTTTCCATGGAGACAACGATGCCACCGCCTTGGAGTGGCCGCATGGAAATGCGTTCCGGCCTGTGCGCTCCGCCTCAGCACAGCGATGCGAATCCCGTCACCCGCAGCCTGCGCAGGCCTGGACGCCGTCACGGCCACTCCCCGCCTCCTCCGTTCCGCTCCTGCTCTATCCCCATCATCCCCTCTGTCCAGTGTCACCATGACAACGAGGTGTCTTGTATGCAAACGTGCATCACCCCAGCAGCCACAGCGATGTCAGTTACCTGTGGAGCCATGCCCTGCAAGGAAGAGCGGAGAGAGAAGCTAGCACGCGCAGCGTTTTCGTCTTCTTCCTGCTCGTCCGCCATTGGCCAGCAGCAGGATGAGGTGGCGCTGCTGCTGGAGGAGGCTCAGGAGCAGCTCAGGGCGTTGGCTCACAGGAAGCAGGAAGAGGGTGGGGTCAGCGGTGGGAGCTCGGCAGCCGTGCTGGTGGAAGCCAGAGAAACTTTGGTTTGCTTCCTGAACCTTAACGGAGGAAGCACTGGGGCGTTGAGCTGTAACGGACCCACGCAGACCCAGTTACTCAGCCCCAGCCTATCACACAGAGACCTGGGCCAAACCAGCCAATGAAAGGAAAGGATTTAGGACATTCACTTTGGTTTGACAGCGTTGGACAGACTCTGGTGTTCTGCATCTGTGGGACACAAATGGAAAGGCTGAATAAAAAAAAAAAAGTAAAATCATGGAAACTCTGAATATGTGCAGATGATATGCATACTGTGTGGATAGAAACATACAAACACTTGTTGAGTGGCGGCCTTTACACCGACTGACAGTATGGAAAAAGAGAAAAAAATATTTACATGCATTTATTTACAAAACAAGAGAAACACGTCTACTTAGGCAAAAAGAAACCAAATAGTCTGTCAAATCCATGGTGTTTTTAATTGTAAAAAGAATATATAAATATATATATAAATATATATGGATATAAATATATGGAATTCAAAAAGTGACCAAGTACAAAGTTGAAGAACACAGGAATGATGTAACTATTTTTCTTTTTTTCTTCTCCCTGTTTTGTATTAACTCTGTCACATTTTGGTTTTGCTCAATTGTAACAAGAAACGAACTTCATTAACGTCCCGCCGCACATCCACGAGCCGTGATTCTGTGAGCGTGCACAGAATCCGAAACGGCAAAACGTGGAAGGAGCCTCCACACAAATCCCCCCCCCCCCCCCCCTCCTTGCCTTTTGAAAACCTGTCTACCCAGCCAAGAATTACAGTACAGCCCTCTGTGGTTACCAACAACACTTTGAGGATTTACGACACAAAACAAAAACTCCCCAGCTGTGTGTGTGTGTGCTGGAGTGCAGCGAGGGATGAGAGG